TGGGATATGAAAAGGTCCTGGCAAGTCGATCAAATTATTTTTAGTATTAAGGATTAGGACTGTTTTACAGAGAACGGAAATATGAGTATGTTCTATTTTTATAGCTTAGAGGTGATGTACTTCGCAGCGGAAGAGATATTTGGAGTGCTATGTTTCTCTTAAATGTTAGTTACTCCTGATTGCGAGATGAATGTTCTCATCCATAACGTATTGGATGTGCAGCTGGAAAGTTAGAAAAATGATGTGCGATACAAACCTTCTGGTTACAGCCTCTAGGAGCATATCAGATTTAAATGTGACCAATGTTGTCTCTATACGGGAAGTGGAAGGTGGTAGAACACACCTACACCGCCCCGCCCCTCAAAACAATTATAGAAATAAAAATAAACAAAGATAGAATAGAGCAGATGTTATGTAGTTAGCTGTTAGGTCATGGTTTCTTGTGTCTTCTTGACTGGTATGTCTGCTAAATCAATTAATGAAGGTGTAGCTTTTTTTTTCTTTTACAAATTTGCTTATTATTTGGCTAATTGATGCGACTGCTACTTTAGTAAGAAAAGTTGCACCCACAAATATAACTCCCGTCTCACATAATGCCCATAATCTGAGAATGTTTTTTCTTATGGAGAATCATAATTTAATTATCCAAGTATTTTCCTTTAATTATTGCATGTCTTGGTTTGTTCTGGTCTTTGTGGGAATAATCTGCGTCATGAACTCAAAAGGAATCTGTTGCTGTACTTCTGTAAGGCGCCATGCATGAGCTGGAGTTGATATAAAGGGGAAATTGTTTTGGATAGAAAATTTATTCTTCTTTTATATCCATTTGAGGAGTAATTTTGAATCGAAAAATGCATGGTCAGTAGGCTCATACTGAACGGTGATTTTTTAAGATTTAAAATACACAAGCAAAGGATCGAAAGGTTAACATATGATATCCATCTCAAATATAGCACCAGGGAATATAATATGTAAGACACGGAGGAAACGTAATATGCTTAACAACAGAAAGTAAACATAATGCACTCACAATTCTGGTTAAATTATCCTGCTTCAGGTTCTAGGCTTGAATCTACCCTCGTTGGCCATCTTGAAAACCTGGGACTGTGCTGCTGCTGCTTTGTTTGAGCTTAGTGCCGATACAAAACTGTCACGGACTTGACTGGTTGTAAAGGGGAACCTGTTGTTCACCATGGAGTTCAGAAAAGACGCAGCTCCTTCTCGGTAAAGTGCTCCAAGGCCATCAGTTCGTGAATTTGAGAGTGCTTGTGGCAAACTGAGAGTTGCTCCAAAACCTGGAGCGTTTGTTATGCCAAAAGCACTGCCCATTGTTCCCCACCAGCCCAATAAGCCCCAAATCACTCCTGGGTGCGTCCTCCAGTAACTTAAAAAGAACAATCATTGAGGATTGTTAATATTCGAAATATGAAGGAAGAGGAAAGCTCTTTCTTGAGCTAACATTAGCAAAAGTATTACCTACAATTGTCATTACTTACTTGCATGTTCCGATAAAAGGGGAGTTGGGATCAGGAACAAAGGGAGGTGCTGACGTAGTTGGTGGGGTTCCATAGACTGGTGTACCAGAAGTTGGAGGGTTGTAGTATCCGTTACCACCTGGAGTTGATGGAGTTGATGGGGTTGGAGTAGGATCAT